AATTTACGAATTGGTTTTGTTTATTTTTTAATTTATGAATTGGTTTTGTGTATTTGTTTATTTTTAAATTCATGAATTGGTTTTGTTTATTTTTGAATTTATGAATTGGTTTTGTTTATTTTTGAATTTATTAATTGGTTTTGTTTATTTTTTAATTTATGAATTAGTTTTGTGTATTTGTTTATTTTTAAATTTATGAATTGGTTTTGTTTATTTTTGAATTTATGAATTGGTTTTGTTTTTTTGAATTTATGAATTAGTTTTGTGTATTTGTTTATTTTTAAATTTATGAATTGGTTTTGTTTATTTTTGAATTTATGAATTGGTTTTGTTTTTTTTGAATTTATGAATTAGTTTTGTGTATTTGTTTATTTTTAAATTTATGAATTGGTTTTGTTTATTTTTTAATTTATGAATTGGTTTTGTTTTTTTGAATTTATGAATTAGTTTTGTTTATTTTTTAATTCATGAATTGGTTTTGTTTATTTTTGAATTTTCGAATTGGTTTTGTGTATTTTTGAATTTATGAATTGGTTTTGTTTATTTTTGAATTTTCGAATTGGATTTGTGTGTTTTTTAATTGTGTTTTAAATTTACAATTTGGGTTTTTTTTGGAACTATATTTTGTAAATGCATTATTTTTTAGACTGATCTGGCTCCATAGTTTGCTATAGAGTGAATGAAATGCAAAACCAAACCCTGCCTCCTGCTTAATATTTCATTTCAGTTGGAAGAACATCAACAAACTGAAATAAGTCTCAGCAACTTCCAGTTCATACAGACTGTAACGTTTGAAAATAAAGTTTGATCTTGATCATCTTTACTGTTATGAATTGACTTTAAACCTCGTTGATGAATATTGCTTTAATGACCATCAATAATGCTACAAAAAATTATAATCACTCAATGTCATTTTCATACTGTTTTTTTCTACATACAGGACAAGTTCAACCGAATGTTGTCCAACCCACAGAACAACCAAAACGTGTATTCAGGGCTCCAGCTGAATCAGCAAACCAAGTACATCAGCAAAAAGAGGCCGAGGTGCAGAGTCAGGATTCAGCAAGTGATCTGAAACCACGCATACTAGATGTCACTTCAATCTGTAAGACCGAGGCAGAAGACAGAGAGGTAAAAGATGCAGCACCTGGAGCTGAACAGCGGCTTTTACCTCAGACGGACAGCTTGAGTACAAATGAGAACACTGGAGTGGCACTGAGGATTAAGACGGAGCCCGAAGACACCATCATCACGATAACATCTTCAGTTACTACAGCCCCTGCTCACGCCGGTACACATCAGGACTCCGAACCAGCCCAGCAGCTGAGACCGGCCAATGAGACGCTAAGAAGACCACAGCGAAAAGAGTGCCTTCGCACGCGGTACGGCAGAGCTAGGAGAGCAACCGCAAGAGATCACGATCTTGACGAAGGGCCGTACAAGTGTAACAAATGTGGCAGGCATCTGAAGGACTTGGCCAAGCTGCAGCTGCATAAGAAACTGCACGAGAGGTCCTTCATCTGTCACTGGTGCGGCAGGAACTTCTCCAAGTTTGATTACCTTCGGATGCACATGCGCACGCACACCGGAGAACGGCCGTACCGCTGCAACTGGTGCTCAAAGACCTTCAGCCAGAGCGGGAACATGAGGAGACATGAGCGCACATGCCAGAGATCCAACGAAGAACCCACAGCGCACATGCTAGATGATGAGCAGCAGCTGTCTGCAGAGTGACACACACACGCACACACACTGAGATAAAAGCTGTTAGGGTGATTGAGAGCTGAGATTCCATGTACGTTGGATACAGTGGGATGTTTTATTGTTTTATCAAGAATTTTAGAAGCTTCCAGATTATACATCAGTGTTTCTCTACCATTTTCCTGTAGGACCACCGGCACTGCATGTTTTAGATTTCTTCTTTGTATGTCACACCTGTTACAGGTCTTTCAGTCTCTGCTAATAAGCTGATAATCTGAATCAGATGTGTTTGGTTAAGGAGATGTGGCAAATGTGCAGTGCTGGTAGTCCCACAGAAACATGGTTGAGGAACACTGTTATAGATGATACTTATGGCCGAAATGCTGTTTCTGTGCCCTTTCCAGTCAGTTTCAGAAGTAAGAATGGACGTTTCCATTTTTTTCCTTTTGAGGAAGACCACATGCGAGTCTTTACTTCCAGACTGACGTTTTACTATTGTAAATACTCCAAAGAGAGCAGTATCTAGCCAATGAAATATTTTTAGGCAGTAATTGACTATTAAAAATGTATATTCACTCATAGAAATCATGACTTTAATATTTGTATTAATTTCCTTTTTTTTCCAGGGGTAGACATCCTGTTTTTTTTTAAAACTGCTGATGTTCAGTAATCACAGGACATGATGAATCCGAAAATGAACTGCAAAATGATGTACTTTGAGAAGCTCGTGACTGTCAGATTTGTGTAAATGAGGATTTTTGTCATATGTAACAACAAACAGTTGAATAAACTAGATTAACCTGAATTTGACCTTCATAAAGATGTAATATGTGCACCTTGAAATCATTTAATTCCCCCTTGTATGATTTTAGTAATTTAAAATGTATTGTCTAGTGAATCATGAGATCAAGCTCTGAATCACCAGTAAATATCGTACTAAGATACATTCATTTTTTTTGTTACTAATATGACAATTATGCTATAAATGTGATTAAAGAGTGAGCAAGTATTAATTTTGGGGTGAGCTATACCTTTAACAGGAGACTGTCATTTTTGGTGAAACTATCCATCAAAGTTCATCCTCCTTGTCCCTGTGTTGACCCATTGAGAGTTTTATATTGCATTATTTTGCATAACAAACGTATGCAAATGGAAAGCTAATGTAAATTTTATTTTAGTATTTAACTATAGATGCCTTTGCAAATATGGAAATCCTTTAAATAATGTAGGAAGGTTTTTGTTTTTAATGGCAGTAGTTTCTATGAGTCTTTTAATGCTGTGCCAGTAGTTTCAGTGACTTCAGCAAAGTTACTGTGTACATTTTAATATTCCCAAGAATTGTGATCAGTAGCTGCAATTTGATCTACTTTATCGCAAGTGTTTGATTTAAAAGAATAGAAGTTTAAAATAAAAGATTTTAATGAGTACAGAGTGCAAAAAAAAATATGGCTAAATAAAATGCTAACTTTCATAATGCTGCTATTCACATTTCTGTCTGCAACTCTATATAAATGTGTGCAATACTCTAAAAATTATTAATTGAATTTACTACTTTTTTTTAAAGGTAAGTGGTTGCAAAAAAATGTAAATGCTCTGAATTTATATTTATTATATATATATTATCCGATAAATAAATAATCGGAATTCAGTGTTGGGAAAGTTAGTTTTGAAAGTAATGCATTACAATATTGAAAAATTACTTTTTAGAGTAAGTAAGACATTACATTACTTTTGGGTTACTTTTACATGACTTTTTCTTAACTTTGCTGAGGCTTGATCTCTCTCTTTTTTTATGAATAGAGGAGCTCTGCAATTAACAATCCACTGTATAACCTACACCTTCGTTTACTTTTTTTTCCTTTAATGCATGAAAAATAATGAGAATACTTCCATCGCAGAAATGTATCTTGGTTTCTGATTCTCTCACTGAGTGCATGAATTAACACGACAAATTTATTTTAATTCAGTATTTTTTTTAAAGAAAAGCTTATTATAAAAACAAAACGTTTACTTAAATTAAACAATTTAAAAAGTAAATGAAGGATTATCACTTAACCTTTTTAAAGGTAATGCATCATTTTCAGGCAGCCTGGTGAAAGGGGTTGTTCTTTTTTATTAAAAAACATTTAAAGTACTTTTTTTTTTTTGCTGGATTAGCATGTCTGGTGGTAATAATAACCACCCTTTTTTGATGTACTAAAAACGTTTACTAAAGATTTAGAAATAACACTTATTTTTAAAATACATAGGTATTACATTATCATTAGGAAAAAATAGGAATCTGTTAAAGTTGAAATTAAAAGCTGTGGCCTGTTGTCATTTATTAGGCCAATAATAAACTCTCCAGCGATTTGGCCATTTAAATAAAATAAAAAAATGAATGAAAACAACAATAATAATAATGTAGATCTTCACAATTTTTCTAGCATCCCTTGTAAAAAAAAAGTTCATTTGAAAATGTATGGATAACCACAATAGCCAAAACAGTATTCAAATAAATTTAATATGGTCTGCTTATGGTGCTTCATGGTCACTTTTTGTTTCAAAAATAAGGTTAAAAATTTTAAATAAAAGTTAATTGTAAAACGTTTTCTCTTTTTAAAAACAATACAGCGAAAGTCAGATTGTAAAATGAAAATGTTTGTTAGCACTGGCCAAAACCGAGCTGAAGTCCTGCCGAAGCGACAGCCAACAGAGGATTCCACTTGTCTTGATCTTAAAGCCCTTTTCGATGGGCTATTTTCACTATTTATGATGGCATAGCAGTCAAAACAGGACAAATACGCTCATGTATGAGTGGGTCTTCCGAACGCCCCCTGGCTACGGGCCTGACTTTACTTGTAAAGCAGGTCTCTCAGTAGCGAAGTCGTTTTTATAACCATGTTTGCAGGAAGAACAATAGAAAAAGGAAAAAATAGCGTGAGACTGATAACCGCAGGCAGAGGAGAGAACAATGTCAAATTTACTCTCAGCCTCAGATGCATTAGAAACACCTCACAGAAGATTTAATTAGTTGTTTGTAATTTGTCGCAAAGATAGTATAATGCATATAAATGTTCATACGTCTTTTAAAACGTCTTCATACTTTTTTAAAAATCAAAATAATAAAAACTTTTAAATATTTAAGATGCTGATGGCCTTTTAATGCGTCATAATCATATTTTTTACAGTCATTGGTCATAATCTTGTGGCTTTTATAGGCAGCATTTCCTCTCCTGTCCTGTAGGCGGCGGTCAATCGTTTCCCGACTGTTATTTTTTTCCGCGAGCTGGAGGTGAAAGGAGAACTGTTCCTGCGACGCGCATTGCTAGCTCCTGCTATTGCTGGAGCTTGTTTTATGCTGCGTTCATAAAACTCAGAAAAAATGACCAAACTCCAGCTCCTGCACCGCGCGCTGAACGAGCGGCTGATGGCGGCGGTGGAGCAGATCATGGAGATGGTCGGCGGCACCGTGCTGGAGTACGAGGAGGAGACCATCAGGGTGCGCAAAGAAAACGAGGTGCTCAGGCGGAGGCTTCGCTGGTTGGAGGGAGCAACCTCAGCCGATTGGCCAGGTATCACGACAGTCCGAGATTAATGGAAGTTTTAATCCCAATTAGTGCTAGCCAGGCTTGCTTATAGCGTTGCCACTTTTAAAGGAACGCGTTTGGTTACTGTGTGCTCTTCAGGGCCTTGGACTTTGTTTTGGTTCGATTACTTGTAAAAGAGCGTCTGCTCTTTCACCACAGTCATTGTGAAAAAGGAGTGTAACTTAAGTGTTTAAACGGCAGTGACATGATGAAGATTTGCTATCAGAAGACCTGTCACATAGGCCGACGTTAGCGGCGCTAGCCTGGTGTTTCCGCTTTAAAGTCATCCTGGGGGGCACAAACTGTAGATATGCCCCCTCTAGAGTACACAGCAAGTAATATTTGCAGTAGGTATAGTTAAAGTTGGTTTTATTTTCGCACATTTCTCCTTAACATTATATTTTCATAAAATTGAATTAGGGAAATCATAATTGCAGCTAAAGACTTTCAAACTACACCAGTGTTCACAGTCAGTTAAATGTTGCTTTGACGTTATGCTTGCATGCGATTTCAGACCGAATATTCAAAATGGCGTGGTAAACAACATGGAAGTAGTAAGTGTTCAAAAATGAACGAATGTGGGTATATGCGGACCCTGAGCATGCGTCACTTGCGCCGCCACATTTGTACAGTGCTCCCAGGACAAATGTCATTAAGCCGCACTTGTCAAGACTAAAGCCAATCTGAAGATGCTGGGTATGGGTGTAGTAACGAGCAAACAAAGAAAAATCATAAAGGCAGAACAGTTCATAGTTGAGATTTAGTTTGTTTTTGTACTTGTGCTCAACAGTTAACGTTATTGATATTGACTCACTGCATTCACTATAAGGCATAGTAGCACCAATTTGCGCTAAATACAAGGTTTATGCTAGTTTTATTTAATAAAATAAGCAAGCAATGCAAAAGAAATATGACAACAAGACGCTGCAGTGTCAGAAACTTGTATTATGGCCTGTTTCCACTGACTGGTACAGTACGGGTCACCTTTATCAGGCTTGCTTTTCCACTACCAAGGTTACCCATTTTGGGGGTTTGGTGTACGACAGAAAGTTTCAGTTGACGTCATTCTCGCCTGAATAAATGTCACAGTAAAGCTGTACAGGTTGTTCACATATCATATGAGAGCACTTCTCACAAAACAGATGCTTTATACACATAAATACTTGTGTATAAATGTTCATTACTAACCTTTCTATGAACATCATTATTACTGCAGATCAATGACAGTGCGAAATAGACTACTGTAACATCTGCAATTATAATAAATAAATAAATAAATGAATGAACATATATGAACACATACAGACCATACCTGTCAACATTGGAATGTGAAAATAAGGGATATGCCCACCAAAATAAGGGATCCCCCACCCCCCTAAAAAATCCACAAATTTCTAAATATGCTCATTTGGAGCTGTTTCATTGTAAATAAACAGTTAAATTGTCAGTAATATGTTTATTATTATTATTATTATTATTTACAAAAGAAAAAAAATTAGCTGCAAATAAATTTGCAAACAATTCAGCTTATTAAAATTAATAGCTGTTATAATGAAATAGAATCAGGTTATCAAATCTCATTAGCCGTGTCTTTACTGTATAACTTACACATTCTGATTAAAGAGCAACGAATGAAGGATTTATTTAGATTTTTCGTTTGATTACATTAAATAACAGTGTTGCCACTTTAAAAATGCACACATCTTACGTTATAATGAACGCATTCGATTGCTTTCCTTACATTTTATGCTCATTTAGGACAAAATTAGTTGTGTTTGAAAAAAAAACCCCCACCAAGATCAACATCTTTAGATGCTATTGTCATTAAATGTGTGTATATCTGTTTAAACACGCACCCAAAACCCAGACTTTTGCTCTGCTTCAAATCGCGAATACAGAATCCGTTTGAGAAAAAAAGCGTCTGTTTATCACTATGCAGCGGCTCTGACAGTCATGCACCGCTATAAGACTGTTTTGAGGATTGCATATGAAGGGGAGACAGCACCTGTAATGAAAAGAAAAGGGAACCCCGCCATTTTTATATTTATTTCTATGGCTGTTTCTCAATATGCGTTCTTCAGCGGTCTTGCGTCCTCGTGTTCTCGTGCAACGTCATCATCAGCTGCCTAAGTTCAGTTCCAATACTCAAGACCGCAAGTACGGAGGATGGGTGAAACTTCCCGGATGTGTTCTTGATATCGAGGACGCACTGATGCAGACTTGAGCAGCGAACTCGCTCTGGAAGTCCCAGAAGTCATTACGACTGGAGGTGGGAAACGCAAAATTGTATTTAGATTCATTATTTAAGTTCAGAGATATCACTTATTTACCTCAGGAGTTTCCCTAAATGAAACGGTGAAAATAAACATTAACATGGATATCTTAGTAAAGGAATAAACACATTAAGGGTGTTTGTTTGCTGAAATTCGTATTAAAATCTGTTTTATTTATATTGTGCAGAGTATATTTAGAATGTTTTTATGCAAAGTATATATTTTGAAGAGGGGGGAAACAATAAATTGTTGTATGAAGGCTGCAATGTTTAAATAATTCACCATATAAAACAAGTGAAGGTCATGTGACCATCAAGAAGAACGCAGCATCCCATTTCTCAAAGGACGCGTTCTCTGCTCTCGCGGTCTCCTGAGTTCATTCTTCTGAGGACACCTGGCAAGACCAGTCTCCACAAGAACGCAAGTCCATTCTCTGCGTTCTTGGAATTGAGAAACAGCCAGTGTTTTCATGCCTAAACAGAGCCGAAGCACAAAACAGACTCGTATTTAAGAGCAAGGGGCGGCCCCTAGTGGTTCGGCGGTATGGGTTGCGTATAGAGGGGCTCGGCTCTTTAATGTTTATTATTATGGTTTGGTACGCATTTTGACAGTGAAAACTGCCTTGAAAGCGCACTGTACTGTACCGTACTACTCAGTGGAAACAGGCCATTATTGTCAGCTAAGTGAACGAGTCGTTCATAACAGAGATTCATTCACAAATGAATCGCTCCTCCATTAGAATGGGAAGTGAAAGCAGGAGAGGGGCTGTGTTTCAGGACACGGATTAGATCGACTTTAACAGGAGGGAGATAATGCATTTCCATGCACACAAACACACACTCTTTGTCAGCGATGCCTGTGGGATCACTGATCAATCGATATAGAAAAGTGATGTAAAATAAATTGTCATAAGTTAAAAAAATATTTGCATACTGACTGACCACCGGGAAAACTCCCGATCATAGAAATTTGTATATATGTGTATATATCTCTGGCTCTGGATGGCCAGTCCTGCACTGCACCTTGGTCCCACATTGATTTCAAAGGAGCGCTACCCTGTACTAAAATGGCAGCTCAATTGACTCATTCCTTTCAATAGGAATAGCGTAGACAACATCGAATGTAAATATCTATTATTTATCTCAATACATTTACAGCCACATGAAATGCTACACGAAGTGAAATTAATAGTTAAACTAAACATGACTATCTTGTCTTGATTAGTGCACTCTGCACTAGTTTCAAACCTGTTTTCAGTTTCTTTTTTCAGCTGAAGATGTTTTGAAGAATGTTGGAGACTGGTAGCGATTAACGTTTTCCTATAAGGATGATGGCACCCCATTTTCCAACATTCTTCAAAATGTCTTCCTTTGTGTTCAATTGAAGAAACTCATAAAGGTTTGTAAGGGTCAGTACACTTTCAAGGGAGAACTATCTCTTTAAAGACATTTAAGTTGCACTTTCTTTAGGCTGTTAGGAATTCAGTGTGCCATATAATGAAAATCTGAATATACCTGGCCATAGTTGAATAAGAAAAGTGCAGAACATGGAAATGACATACCATGAGCCTCAGACACTATTGTTTCCTCATTCTCATGTAAATCCTGTGAGTGTAACAAGAACAAAATGCACAATTTTATTGCAGCCAGGATCATTATTATGCACGCCATAGACTGCGTTTGATTGGCCACAACTTTCCTAGTGAGATTACAACAATGATCATTTATCCATCGTTATTTTTAAGATCATCTAAGCTTTTATTAATTAATCTTACTATGTTTCTGAGACCCGTATTTTGAAAATGGCAAAGGCAGAGAGACGGCTCTTTTTATTGTTTTCAATGGGGTATATGCACACAGACTTTTAATTTCAGTCAGCCAGCGCCAGAGCTTCCGGTTAATTGTCATCCCATACAAAATTGCCACGTTTAAGATCTGTTTTCTTTACTGCCTGGCAGAGATACGATATAAAGTTGGACCAACAAGACCAAACAAGAAGCACTGCATCAAATTCTTCTTTTCCAAGTCATGTCTTTAAAATATGGAAATTTCTTTTATCCCAGTATTTCCAATAGAATTTATAATGATGGCGCTAGGGTTTACACAGTTTTCCGTTTCTTTTTATGCTTTAACAACAAAATGGATGCTTAAGTCTATTTAATGTATTATATCTGAATTACATTACAACATCAATGCTGTAAAAGGAACCTTATGAATTTGAAAATAGTCACACAGATTTGCAGATTTTTATCAGCCATGTTAACAACATGTAAGAAGCAAAATGCTGGATATATGGATTATAAGCATGAGCTTAGTTTAGCTGTATCTTTTGCTAGTTTTATGGGTGAATTGTAAAATTATATGTATAATTGCAATGTACCGAGGTAGCAAACACATTTATGCATAGTGTCATATCACTCAGCTCTTACTGTGAAAGGACGCAAATAAACATTAAATTAAAACACATCTTTTTTTATAAAGAGGTTGGTATTAATTCCTGCTTGTGTTTTTAAATTATTTAAAGCTTAAAAATACAACTTTAAATACATCTGTCAGTCATGTTTGTTGAGTATAATTATAATTTGGCCTATATTTTATCCACAACTCATAAAGAAACTTTTGTTATTGGCTTAAAGATATCTAATTTACTTCTTAAAAAAAACTACTATTTCAGTTTATTAGAAATCTACTCGATTTGACAAATGAAGTATGATTATTTTAGATTTACTCTAAAAATTGTATATTGTACAGTAAATCATTCTCTTTGTGTTTGTGTGAAAGCAAGACAGAGCAGAAACTGAACTTAATTGTGTCAAAACAGCTCATTATTATTCACGACCATTCAAATAAAATCAAACAAGAGCTTCTGATACTAGGGGTGATTCCTCTTGTTTTAATGAGCTTGTTCAACCTTTTCTGGAGAGCTTACTTAAGCCACATACATACTATTTTGTTATCAGAGAACAACTTAACATATTGCACCAATGCGCTTTTTGGCAACTTTAAAACAAGACTATTTCAACTGGGTTCCTAGGCTGAAAATACAAATCGTTTTTAAAAGATCTTAATCTCATCTAATTAAATTCTCAGGCCCGTCGGAACCTGTTATGACCTCCATCCCGGAGGACTCCAATCCATCCCAACAAGACGAGAACACTGTCAACTGTGGATTTGAAGAGAATTCAGGCCCTGTTGTGATCAAAACTGAATTGACGGATCACCCGCTGCATGTTAGACCTGAAAGCGCCGATCAGGGTTCTGAGAATGCTGGGACAAGCACTGGTATTGCCTTTGGTCTGACAGGCAGTATGACGTGGGACTCTGCTCAAAATTACATGGCTCCTCTGGACTTTGATCCATCTTCGGGCATCTCTAGGTTCAGGGACTGGAGAGAGAGGAACAGAAGGCAGAGGATGTCCTTTGCTTGTCTAGACTGTGGTAAAGTCTTCGGAAGGGAACAAGGGCTGATATTTCACATGCGGATCCATTCCAAAGATAGGCCGTATATGTACCGTCAGCGCAAGGCCTGCTTCTATGGTGACAAAAGAAGAAAGAGGAAACTGCACAGGCTCTCTCAGGTAAATTTTAGCATTGTAATTAAACTCATGAAGTTAAATGTGACCTTAAAAGATGCAAGACTTTGAAAAATGAATGATCCTATTTTTCACCTGATTTCCGAGACAAAGCTTAAGGCTAGTCCTACATAAAATTACATGCATGAGCTGTCTAAACTAACTCTCTGCAAACAGCCGTAACTGTGCTTGCATTCAAATCCTTGAAAATAACACTCAAACTAAAAATTAGGAAACATTAAAGCAAATTACAAAATTCTTTAAAAGTGAAGTATCTTTTCATTAATGTTGTGTTAAAACCTACTTGCTTGATTTTAGTAAAATAACAACTATCCTTGAGCGCCGTCCCCATTGAAAACTAGCCTAGAGCACCGTCCACTATTGAAAAGTAGCCTAGAGCACCATCCACTGTTGAAAAGTAGCCTAGAGCACCGTCCACTGTTGAAAAGTAGTCGAGAGCACCATCCACTGTTGAAAAGTAGCCTAGAGCACCATCCACTGTTGAAAAGTAGCCTAGAGCACCGTCCACTGTTGAAAAGTAGCCTAGAGCACCGTCCACTGTTGAAAAGAAGTCGAGAACACCATCCACTGTTGAAAAGTAGCCTAGAGCACCATCCACTGTTGAAAAGTAGCCTAGAGCACCGTCCACTGTTGAAAACTAGCCTAGAGCACCGTCCACTGTTGAAAAGTAGCCTAGAGAATCATCTGCTGTTAAAAACTAGCCTAGAGTGCTGTCTACTGTTAAAAAAGCTAGCCTTGAGCACCATCCACTGTTGAAAACTTGCCTAGAGAATCATTTTCTGTTAAAAACTAGCCTAGAGTGCAGTCCGCTGTTGAAAACTAGCCTAGAGAATCATTTTCTGTTAAAAACTAGCCTAGAGTGCTGTCCGCTGTTAAAAATTAGCCATGGGTGCCGTGTGCTGTTATAAACTAGCCGTGAGCGCCGTCCGCTGTTGAAAACTAGCCTAGAGTGAGAGCACGATCAGCTGTTGAGAACTAGACTAGACCACTGTCTGCTGTTAAAAACTAGCCTAGAGCGCCGTCCACTGTTAAACTAGCCTAGAGCGTTGTCCGCTGTTAAACTAGCCTAGAGCGCCGTCCGCTGTTGAAAACTAGCCTAGAGTGCAGTCTGCTGTTGGAAACTGGCCAAATCGCGGTTGAAAACTAGTCTAGAGCACAGTGAGCTGTTGAAAACTAGCCTACAGCGCAGCCCGCTATTGAAAACTGGCGTAAAATGCCATCTGCTGTTGAGAACATTAATTGGCCTAGAGCGCCGTCCGTGGTTGAAAATTGGCCTAGAGCGACATCCGCTGATGAAAACTAGCGTACAGCACTGTTGAGAACTGGCCTAGAGTACAGTCTGCTGTTAAAAACTAGCCTAGAGCACCGTCAGCAATTGAAAACTAGCCTAGAGCACCATCTCCTGTTAAAAAAACAAGCCTAGACCGCAGTCTGCTGTTAAAAACTTGACTAGAGCACCATCTCCTCTTGAAAAACCAAGTTCAGAATCTATTCGAGAATGGAGATGCAGTTTAAAAATCACAGAATCATTCTCAAACAGTTTTTCACCACAGCTCTACAGAACAGCGCCAATAATTCTTTTTACGTTTTTAATGATTTTAGACTGTGTGTGGCATAATGTTGTGATGCTTCAATTTAGTTTATTTTCAGTTCAATTGCAAAAAAGGATGTGCTCATGTGGAAAGATGAAATAATAAAGCTTGTGGTTTTCTCTCACACAGTTAACAAGAGAAGTAGGGCTATCGAGAGAAGCTGAGGATGATCTGTCGGATGGCTCTGAGCAGACAAACAGGAGTAGCGCATCACCTGATAGGCTAGCACCAGGTCAAGAAGACGAAGGCCTGTCTGAGAGTGACTGCTCCAGCAGTGGTAAAGAAGCCAAAAAATTACCTCTGCGCCGCCGGAGACCGGGAAGAACAAAGCGGACACAGCCCTGCGTTCCATGTTATTGTCCTCATTGCCCTGGAAGGGTATTTTCTGGACCTGGTCAGTTAGGCATGCACATGAAGTCCCACAGAGCTCCTCAGAACCAGGGGAGCCCTACACAATCAAGCACTAACAAGACTGAGGAGGCCACAAGGACAAATATACCCCAGGTACTGCACTTCATGCTCTTTAATGTAATAAATATAGTGTTTAGATATGCATACATGAAGATTTTGTCTTATCCTTACATGTAAGCTCTGTCAAAAATGTCAGCCAATATTAGAGGGGGGATAGAATCAATCTGAATATATGATGCAATGTGTATTTACAGCTTTTTGACTTGTGCATGTAAACAGAGATGCGTTTGTGCCTTGATAAAACGTTGCTACGTGATAAAATAAGAGATTCTAAAAAACACTATTGGTTTCAGTGGCCAATGATGATATTTAGAAAGTGGAGTGGATGATGTTGGATAGTAGCAAATGTTTTGCTGCAGTCAAAAAGACAAGTGTTTTTCGCAACATTTACTCAAAGATAATAAAGTGATAAAGTGTTAGTTAGCTGTCTATTGACAGTGTGGTCAGTCAATTTTTATTGGGTTTTAATGGAACACGCCATTTCTTTTGAAAACATTTCCAGGTTTTTGGATGATGCCTGTTGGCAAATGCTGTCTGTTAATTAGTCCTTTTATTATTAGTTTTTTAACTAGGAATACATCGAATTTTTATCTGGCAAAAATCATCAGCTCAAAAAGACTCTTCTTTGTTTTGGCTGAAAGAGAATAACCAAAAGCAAGAGTTAAAAAATATGCTATGCTGTGCTGCGCTGCCCAGCAGTGTTCAGTGCGCTGGTTTCACTCTGCCTCCAGCCATATCCGCTATGCCGTCTGAAGTGGCTTTACAGCAGATATGGAAAGAGCAGCTATGAAACCCATTCATTTCAATAGTTTGCTCTGTGCAAAGAGGGATTATCAATTTGTTGTTGTGCTGACCAAAACACAGGAGCAGTGGAGCGTAGGCATGGACTGTCTTTCGATGAGACGTTAAACCGAGGTCCCGACTCTCTGTGGTTGTTAAAAATCCCAGGATGTCCTTCGAAAAAGAGTAGGGATTTCACCCCAGCATCCTGGCCAAATTTGCCCACTGGCCTGTCCATCATGACCTCCTAACTCTCCCCATATCATAATTGGCTTTATTACTCTGTCTCCTCTCCACCAATCAGCTGGTGTGTGGTGTGCAGTCTGGCGCAAAATGGCTGCCGTCACGTCATCCAGGTGGATGCTGCACACTGGTGGTGGATGAGGAGATTACCCCTCTACGTGTAAATCGCTTTGAGTGCCCAGAAAAGCGCTATATAAATGTAAGGAATTATTATTATTATTATTATTATTATTATTATTATAAGGTTTTGACGGTATGATAACCTTGGATAAAAACATCACGGTATTGCGGTATTGAGATTACTGCTCTAAAATGTGTTTTTTTTTTAATGTGGGTAAAAAAAACTTTTTTTTTCCCCCTTGAAAACTAAATATTTTATTTTTTGAAAGATTTAAAATATTTCTTTCCTTGCTATTCCTTGAAAACCGTTATCTTCCCATGCCTAGTGGAGCACAACATAGACAAGCACGTTCAGCTGTTAAAGTTTAAATAGCAAAGTATTTCGCTCTGTGGATATTTCGCTCTTGTACTCGTATACATAAGCATGAACCGTGAACAAACAGTGTCCGCTCAAAAAATTTGTTAAAGCATTTCTATGTAGTCCTGCTGCTAACAATAGTGTTACTGTTATGACATGATAACATGGCTAGTTTTCACTCTCGATTAAATTTTGCTGTTAGCAAAATGGGGTTTCTTTATTGGCTTTTGATTTCAGTTAACTTAATTGGAGCTGAATGTTAAAAAGTCGTGCTAAAGTACTTTATATAATTTAATAAAATAATTAATAATTATTACAAAGCATTTTTGGTTCAAATTTCAGCCAGGTGTATCTCAAATTTTTGGTTTCGGTTTTGGCTTAGAATTTTTGTTTCGGTGCGTTCCTAGTTTTCAGTCTTATAACCTGTGGAGTTCATCAATATGAAACCAGTCTGAAAGTGGCACCAAAGGTTATGCCCTCACTAAAGTAATCCTAAGATAGTAAGGACATATTTTAGGATCACACTCGTACAGCTACAGCCAGTCTCCGAAGAGAACAAGAAAGCAACCAGAAGCGGATGCAGTTTGTAAACGGTGAGTTTGAGAAGCTGATATGACAAGAGCTGATTTGTGCCTTCAAACACATGCTATTCATTCAGATACACTTCTGCATTTGCTTTACTTGTTAGTTGATGTGGGATAACACCACCAATATCTTGAACAGTTGAGCATAGGTTTAACTGTAAAATTCCATTCATAGTTTTAGAATCTGTTTTTATTTTTCACTTTTTTACCTAAAGCTGGATTGAAGGATAATTTACTACCGCAAATCCAGATCTCTCTCTCAAACCTAGAATCTTGAGTATAAAAAGCTAGATTTTTCATTCAACCATTTTTCTTCACATTAGTCTCTTTGGTCCCACTTTATATTAAGTGTCCTTATTGTCCTTATGTTAACTACTATGTACTTACATAAAAAAAATGCAATGTATTTACTGTGTTCATAATGTATTTGAGAACACTTGTGGTGCTTTGATAGAGGTTGGGTTATGGACGGGCTTGGTGGCTAGGGTAGGTTTAAGGGTGGGTTAAGGTGTAAGGGATGGTCAACAGTGTATTTACAAAATATAATTACAAAAGTTAATTACAGATGTAATTACATACTTGTATTTAATCAACCATAAGTACACAGTAAATACATGTATTTACACAATAAGTACATTGTAACAAACCATTAATTCATGTGTAAGTACATATTAGTTAAGGCCACTTAATATAAAGTGGGACCGTCTCTTTTTATCACGGGTCGCCACAGTGGAATGAATCAACAAATATTTCAGCATAAGTTTTACGAAGTGGATGCCCTTCTAGCCGCAACCCAGTACTAGGAAACACCCATGCACACACGTACTTATACACTACTGCCAATTTAGTTTATTCAATTCACTTATAGCACATCTTGGGACTGGGGGAAACCGGAGCAACTGAAGGAAACCCACAGGGAGCCCATGCAAACTTCACACAGAAACCCCAACTGAGCCAGTCGATACTCGAACCAGCAACCTTCTTGCTGTGAGGCGACAGTGCTAACCACTGAGCCACCGTGCTGCCCCAAGCTAGATTTTTATAATGATGTAACAAGAACTAATCTTAAAATATAATTAGCTGGAAAACTGTCAAGAAATGTTTACTATGGAGTCATCTCTAGGGTGCCAGACTAGTATTTGTAGTGAGCTAAAGCAAATGTTGGATAATTAAATGTATTAGTTACTATTTATTTAATCCAGATAAGCTCGGTTTTAGGCTTGCTATTACCCATAGCCGTAATAACTAACTGAATGCATACCATTTGTTTTAGAATTCTTTGTAGTTTCTTAATGTAAATGGTGACATTTAAAGCTTATGCGTTTCTTTCTTTTCTCATTGTTTCACAGGTGTCATTTCTACCAAACCGCTGTTTTAGCAAAGTTTGGGACTACTTCATAAAAGATGCGTTTGGAGAAGTCTTCTGTCGTGAATGTTCAGCCAGAGTTAGCCAGGGGTCCAGCAAGGCTGCTAACAAGAACACTTCTAATTTGTGGTCTCACCTTAGAATAAAACACCAGCATGCTTACGTGGAAGCAAAAGGTTACCGACCGGTCAATATGCGGATCGACACTTTGGACACCGTTCCAATTAAATTAGAGAAGTTAGAACCTGAAGAATGCATCATACAAAGCGGAAGTCAGATAAATGAGGTCTTGATAACAGAAATACCGTCTAATGAGAACTTGTAAAGAAATGTAGATATGCCAAAGAGAAGTTTGATTTTTCAAAGGTGTATATATGCAGTGTGATTTATAAAGTGGTGGTTTAATAAAATCTCTTTTGAAAAACATTATTATCAGTCTATTGATTCATTACTTTAGGCGTTCTGCCATTTGCTATAGTAATATACAGTGCTGAGAAGTAACAGCTTTATATAATCGCTGTCTTCAAAAATTTTAAATGCTGATTATGTTGATTTGCTTAAGTTTAGTAATATAAATATAAGAATACATTATATACATACACGCACAGTTGGAAACTATTAGCTCTCCTTTAAAAATGTTTATTCTTTTTCAATTTTGTAATAATAATAATAAAACTAATTTAAGGATAATATTTTTAGCCACCATACTAATGTTTTTTTTAATTGCTTACGCTCTACAGAACAATTCTTTATCCAATAACTTGCCTAATTAACATAATTAAGTCTTTAAATTGTGTTTTTATTTGTGGCTGAATACTAGTATCTTGCAAAGGCAAAAGAAATTGGTGATTAAAATTAGTCTTGAGTTGAAAAAGATTCTCTCTGTTAAGCAACACTTAGGAAATATTTTTTAATTTATATATATATATATATACATTTTTTTGTAATGCCAATGACATCTGTAGAATATGTTTGAGTGTCAGTGTTTTACTTTTGCCACTTTAAGGTTCATAATCATCATCACAATGATGATCAGAAATCTTCTCTCACCGTCAAATGGATATCATTTGTTTCAGAATCAAAGCAAAAGTGATGCAGTGAAGGAGAAACGTGCAGGCAGAAAAAGCTTTCCTTGTCCAAAGTGTGACCGAGTGTTCTATAAGTTAACCGCAATGCGTTTCCACTTATGGGGCCATGAGTATGAAACTGCTTCATCCCAAGAAAATCTTGAGATTGCAGCCCAGACTGAGGTATCTCTTCACCCAAAAGCAGAATACAAATTCGTTTTTAGAAATTAGTTACTTAAACTGTTATGTTTAAAAGAGGATTTGTAAAATCTTATTCCTGTTTAACACTTGATTTTTTTTTTATAATGACTTGACATCTGTACAATAGGTTTAATATGCTTATTATCGTGTAGTGTCAGTGTTTTACTTTTGCTACTTTAAGCTTTATAATCATCGTTGTATTGATCAGAAATCTTCTCTCACTGTCAAATGGACTTGCATTTGTTTCAGAATCAAAGCAAAAACGTTGAAGTGAAGAAGAAACGTGCAGGCAGAAAAAGGTTCCCTTGTCCAAAGTGTGACCGAGTGTTCTATAATAAGTCATCAGCGTTGCGTTTTCACTTAAGGAGCCATGATTATGAAACGCCCTCATCCCAAGAAAATCTTGAGATGGCAGTCAAGACTGAGGTATCTTCTCACGCAAAAGCAGAATACAAATTAGTTATTAGAAATTAGTTATTTTAATGGCTATGTTTAAAGTAGACTTTATAAAGCTTTTTTTCCATTAAACATTCAGGAAAAATTTTTAAATTAATATACACATGCTTGTCATATCATTATAATATCTTTAAAAATATATATTTTTTACTAATTTTATTCAAGAAGTGAAACTTGTTTACTGTCATTCCACACAGACTGATATATTTCAAGTGTTTATTTCGTTTAATTTTGATGACAACTGATGTAAATCCAAAATTCAGTAACTTAAAAAATTAGAATATCAATTAAAACCAATACAAAAAAAAGGATTTTCAGAAATGTTGGCCAACTGAAAAGTATGAACATGAAAATGCATGCACAGCACTTAAGGCTTAGTTGGGGCTTCTTTTGGCTGAATTATTCCAGCAAATTGGCTCTTTTGCATTGTTGGGTCTGGCATATCGCATATTCCTCTTCACAATACCCCATAGATTTTTTATGGAATTAAGGTCAGGTGAGTTTGCGGGCCAATTAAGAACAGGGCTACTATGGTCCTTAAACCAGGTACTTGTAGCTTTGGCACTGTGCAAATGACATGGCACCCCAAACCATCACTGACTGTGAAAATTTTACACTTGTCCTCAAGCAACGTGGATTATCTGCCTCTTCTCTCTTCCTCCAGACTCTGGGACCCTGATTTCCAAAGAAAATGCAAAATTAACTTTTATCAGAGAACAAAACTTTGGACCACTCAGCAGCAGTCCAGTCTTTTGTTCAGGAGTGGCTTGACGCAAGCAATGTGACAGCTCAAACCCATGTCTTATGCTGTGTTCACACCAGACGCGGAACGTCCGGATAAATCGCGCGTAAATAGCCGCGTGAACATTTGAGTTCACTCGCGCGTCAAACCCCGCTTCATTCACGTGTCAAATCCGCTTCATTCGCAGGTCAAATTCACTTCAGAACAGACGCAGATTCGCGTCATGGGCAGGGCTTCTGTCTGCCCGGTGACTCTAGCTTCATAACTTAACGGCATTTTGAACTTCTTGTCTGTGTGCGGCTGGAGGATTTCCCCTGGGACACCCACAACAGGCGATACGTCACAATCACGTCCCCACAAGAGCAAGCTCCTGATTGGTTAACGCGGCGCGAATGTCCGCTGAAGTTCAGATTGTCGAAGTCGAGCGATTCGTGCAAAACACTAAATTTACGCGTTTGCATTGACTTAACATGTAAATCGCTCGTGCTTGCCGCGTGTTCTGCGTCTAGTGTGAACGCAGCATTAGTGGTTTTTGAAGCACTGACTCCAGCTGCAGTCCACTCTTTGTGAATTCCCCCCCACATTCTTGAATGGGTTTTTTCACAATTCTCTTCAGGGTGGGGTTATCCCTATTGCTTGAACCCTTTTTTTTCTACCACATTTTTCCTTCCCTTACGTCGCTATTAACATGCTTGGACACAGAGCTCTGTAAACAGCCAGCCTCTTTTGCAATGACCTTTTGTGACTTGTCTTCCCCATGACTGTGTAGCCTACAGAACTAGACTGAAAGACCATTTAAAGGTCTTTGCAAGTGTTTTGGGTTAATTAGCTGATTGGAGTGTGGCACCAGGTGTTTTCAGTACTGAACCTTTTCACAATATTCTAGTTTCCTGAGATACTGAATTTTGTGTTTTCATTAGTTGTCATCAAAATCATTAAAATTAAAAGAATCAAACACTTGAAATATATCAGTCTGTGTAGAATGAATGTATACATTATACAGGTTTCACTTCTTGAATAGAATTAGTGAAATTATTTTTTTGAAGATATTCTAATTATATGACCAGCACCTGTATATACACTGCTCAAAAAATAGAGAGAACACTAAATCAACACATCCTTGATCTGAATGAAGGAAATATTCTTAATAAATACTGTTCTTAACATAGTTGAATGTGCTGACAACAAAAATCACACAAAAATTATCAATGGAAATCAAATTGATTAACCCATGGTGGTCTGGATATGGAGTCAAACTCAAAAATGAAGGAAAAACACAACAGGCTGATCCAACTTTGATGTAATCTCCTTAAAACAAGTCAAAATGAGGCTCAGTAGTGTGTGTGGCCTCCACATGCCTGTATGACCTCCTTACAATGCCTGGGTATGCTCCTGGTGACGGAATCTTCTCCCAGATCTGGACTAAAGCATCCACCAACTCCTGGACAGTCTGCGTTGCAACGTTGGTGGATGGAATGAGACATGATGTGTTCAATTTAATTCAGGTCTGGGTCAGTCCATAGCATTAATGTCTTCATCTTGCAGGAACTGCTGACACACTCCAGCCAAAGGAGGTCTAGCATTGTTCTGCATTCGAAGATACCCAAAGCCAACCGCACTGGCATATGGTCTCAAAAAAATATGAGGATCTCATCTCGGTATCTAATGGCAATCAGGCTACCTCTGACAAGCACATGGAGGGCTGTGCAATCCTCCAATGAAATGTCACCCCACACCATTACTCACCCTATGGGTAAATTGGTCATGCTGGAGGATGTTGCAGGCAGCAGAACATTGTCCATAGCGTCTCCAGACTCTGTCACATGTGCTCAGTGTGAACCTGCTTTCATCTGTGAAAGGGTGCCAATGGCGAACCTGCCTATCTTGGTGTTTTCTGGCAAATATCAATTGTCCTGCATCGTGTTGGCCTGTAAGCACAACCCCCACCTGTGGATGTCAGGCCCTCATACCATCCCCACGGAGTCTGTTTCGGACCGTTTGAGCAGACACAAACATTTCTGGCCTGCTAGAGGACATTTTGCAGGGCTCTGGCAGTGCTCTGGCAGTGCTCCTCCTTACACAAAGGTGGAGGTTGCAGTCCTGCTGCTGGGTTGTTGCCCTCTTACGGCCTTCTCCTCGTCTGGCCTGTCTTCTGGTAGTGCCTCCATGCTCTGACAGACACAGCAAACCTTATTGCCACAGCTCACATTGAGCTGCACTACCTGAGCCACTTGTGTGGATTGTAGACTGTCTTATGCTACCACTAGAGTAAAAGGTCTGCCAGCATTTAAAATTGACCAAAACATCAGCTAGAAAGCATAGGAACTGAGAAGTGGTCTGTGGTCACCACCTGAAGAATCACTTCTTTATTGGGGGTGTCTTGCTAATTACCTATAATTTTCACCTGTTGTCCATTCCATTTGCACAACAGCATGTGAAATTGATTGTCAATCAGTGTTGCTTCCTGCGTGTGTAGTTTGATTTCACAAAAGTGTGATTGACTTGGAGTTTTGTAAAGTGTTCCCTTTATTTTCTGAGCAGTGTATATACTTTTTTGTAATACCACGAGATCTGTTCAAAAGGTTTGATTTGCTTATTATAATCGTGTAGTGTGTATTATTTTAGCTACTTTAAGATTAATAATCATCATGCCCACCAGAAATCTTCTCTCACTGTCAAATGGACTTGCATTTGTTTCAGAATCAAAGCAAAAGTGATGAAGTGAAGGAGAAACGCACAGGCAGAAAAAAGTTTCCTTGTCCAAAGTGTGAACGAGTGTTCTATAGCAAGTCATCCGCATTGCGCTTCCACTTACGGGGCCATGAGTATGAAAAGACTTCATCTTAAGAAAATCTTGAGATGGCAGTCCAGACTAAGGTATCTCTTCACGCAAAAGCAAAATAAACTTTTCAATTCACGTTTCTTAATAAAGTTGAACGTTTGTGTTTCGAGGTGTTCCAAAAAAGGTCATAATCAGATTACATTTCTAAGGATTACATAATTACAAATTAGCCACACAATGGCAGTGAATTATTCAGAGCACGTTGATTCGACTTAAATATATCCATTTAGACTTCTGATTTCAATGTCTTCAAAAAGTAATGTTGAGTCATGATATAGTCATCGGCTACAATTCTAATCTGACCCAGGACTTTCACTCCACCTTCAGACTTATTGACACTAAATAAGTGTTGTTAATACTAATTCGGCAGCCATAAATTGCCTTTTGACTTTGATTTTAATGGGTGAAGCACTGGCAATTGAATGCCACAACATAAGTGGCACAAAAATTATGGCAAAAATAAAAGCATTATTGAGGTAATTTTGACCCGCTGGCACTTTTAGGTATAAACTACTTATTTTGAATCTTATTTAATCTACAAAATTTTTAACTTCAGGGGCTGGTAAAAAACATCATATTAGTACAAACCAATGGCTTGGAGACACTCATTGGTACATTTTTGTTTGTTTTACTTTCTGAAATAAAAAAAAATCTATTGCATGTCATATTGATTGCCTAAATTGGGTAATATAAATAGAGATATTACAGTTTTCATACTGTGTGTGTGTGTGTGTATCAATATATTTAAATTTGTAATGCCATGGCATCTACAGTATGTTTAATGTACTTATTATAATCTTGTATCAGTTTACTACATTTGCCACCTTCAGGGTTGAGTTTTGGGGACAATATAAACATGCTAATCCTAAACATACACATTGTTATGTCTTTCCGTGCTTCTCATTGTCAATTCTTCTTGCATTTCTTTCAGAAGCAAAGCAAAAGTGATGCAGGGAAGAAGAACAAATGTGCAGGCAGAAAAAAGTGCCCTTGTCCAAGGTGTGGCAAAGTATTCTTTAAGTCATCTGCATTGCGTTTGCACATAAAGGACCATGAAAATGACAGACCCTCATCCCAAGAAAATCTTGACTTGGCAGTACAGACTGAGGTACCCGTTCACACGAAGCACTATTTAGTCTGGATCTTTTCAAATCATGTTTCTTTTTAAGGTCGAACATTTTGTGTTTCTTTTAGCCTCCCAAAGAAGAAGCAATAGAGCGTAAAAGAACAGCAATGCAGAATTCGAAAAGGCCACAGAAAACTTTTTCCTGCCCTGTTTGCAATAAAGTATTTACTCGTGAAGGATGGTTGGAGCCGCACATTCGAAGTCAGCACGGGGCAGTAAACATCAAGAAGCGTAAATATAACAAAGTGCTTGTCAAGGGAAAGAAGCGAAGGTCAATGCGGATTTCAAAGGTTAGTTTTGAGATTTCTTTTTAAATATGTTGATGTTGCAATGTACTTGCCGAGACGATGCCTGTTTTATTTCTGTATAATAACCCACATTCCTTTTTTGTATTGATCGGTAAGCAATCGCGTCAGGTAGCAATTGAAGAATCAAAAAAGGTCACGAGTGAGACACAGCGAGACACCGAGGAGGTGAAACGGGAAACGATGGAATCACAAAAGGTCTTAACCAAGGCACAGGCAATCACTGAAGAGACAAAAGGTGAAACAGAAGCATCAAAGGTCAACGCTAAACCATGTCAGTCAAGAAAAAACTCCAGCCCAGTTGTGGTAATGTCCAAACTCAATGCAGATCTTATTAAAAAAGTTACAGATGACGCAAACGGTCCTCATAAAGACACACCAGGATCTGACGGAGGAACGTCAGATATTCAAAATCAGACAAGCTTTACATGCCTATATTGTGGCGAGTCATTTTTTCAGAAACGGAAGTTCAAGCATCACAGAATGAAACACATCGCAGCTAACTTGCAGGTTTTAAGAAAAAGGAAAAGGGAAGCAAGAAGATTGGAAGAAGAGCAAGAAGAAAAGAGATTGAAGGAGGAGAAAGACAAAGTGAGGCTTAACAAGACGTCGACAAGCAATCACAAAACTAATACTACGGTATGTGTCTACCCTAGCCTGAAGAATGATCTGCACAAGTTCTTCACATTTCATAGTTTTATATAATTTTAAGGATAAAGGATTCAAAGAATAAAGAACTGCCTGAGGATGTGGCCATCATAAAGGAATAACCGATTCTAGGACAAACAAGTCCGAGACCAATAGAAAACTAAAAAATAACTAGTGGGAAACTTGTACATAGAAATATAGTAATAGTGAGCACATCAGAATAAGTGCCTTTTGTTTTGATTTTTTAGTGGATAGCAATTAATTTTATTTGTATACTGACTGCAAGGCTAATAATATCTTTCTAAACCTTCAATCATTGGCTTGAGAAGGTGCAATGCAAGCTATTGGGTTTAAATATTTATTTCATACATTATACATAGTTCATCTTATGTAAATACATTATTGGTAAAGGCACTCATTTCATAGGCTAGCCCATGCACAAATATGTATTAAAATAATCTTTTTCGTACCCCCTCAACAGACACCTCAAGGATCCCCAAACAAAGATTCATTACCAAAAAGCAGAAACAAAAGTCAAGAGCAGCTTCCCTGCCCATTTTGTGGCAAAATCTTTGCTTATGAAATGCGGCTGTTGGTGCATATGCAGATTCACTCTGGTGAAAAACCATACCCGTATCGGCAGCGCAAGAAACGTTTTTATGGTGACGTGAAAAAGGGCAAACTCCAGAAAAGCTATAATGAGGAGGTAGGAGAGACTGATCATTATTTCCTAGATAATTTCATCAGGGTGATTCTTCTGTTGAAGTCATTATAAGTATGGTTGATTGTCGGTTTCCCTCAATACAGCCTCTGGGGAAGAACTGGGACGAGTCTGGACAGTCCGTCGGTGAAGAAAAGGGGAAGGGGGACCCTTCTACAAATCTGAGCAGCCATGAAGCTTATGGAGACACTGCACTGGAAGACAATCCTGGCAGCCTTCTACCTCAGTCACCTATTGAGCAGCCTGCCATCTGCAACAACAGTGATGAACAAAACAAATCTGAGCTTGCCAAGGATCTCATGGGCCACTTCACTTTGCAACCCAGGATTGTTCTGCGACCAATTACAACGGGTTCCAAATATTCCACCTTGAATCCTGGTGATGTAAAATCAGGGCACATTGATCATGAAGAAACCTCATGCTCAGTATTGGTAGATGATACACTAGAAATTGGTAGTACGGATGGAGATAGTGATGTAATGGAGGTGGAAGATACACCAGAGGGCGGCAATCTTTGCACGATACCAGTGGAAAGCACAAGTGATGGCAATCCTGAAATACGTTGCAGTGTTAGTCCTGGGAACGTAGAGGTCTCTGTGCTGGCTAGTTCTCAATCGAAAGTAAAGCTTGACAACTCTGGGGGCTCAGCGGCCATTCAAGAGTCTGAGGCAAAAAACTCAGTTGGTCGACAAGAAGAGGACCGAAACCGTAATTTTCCTTGTGTAATTGCTGGTGAAAATGGCCAATCAGAATGTGGTAAAAAGAATTGTGATTGGACGTGTGATTGTGATAGCATTGAGTCAATGAAATTAACTGTAATGCCAGAGGCCAGTAATTTAGATTCTTTGTTCAAGGAAACTAGTTCCGGAGCCATGCAGGATGCTGACTCTGAATTAAGTTGTGTTGTCATCTCGGATGGTGAAGATACCGATGAAATGCCTAGCATTTAAAATGAACAGTTAGAGATGGCCAGCGAACTGCACAAAAATCCTTCCAGCGACTTTCCATCTAAATCGAGAATATCAATTCCACATGTGTTCACACCAAGTCTATCGGCAGTCCCTCAAAACAGTCTGATGTTGAGCTCTTATCTCGTCAAAAGAAGGGTCAGAGCATCTCCCCAGTGACCAGTTGGCATCTACTGTGATAAGGCAAATGAAGTATGACCCCCATGAGGATATAGTGGGTCAAATATCAGATGTGGTACTTGCTGGTCAAGCATGGTAGTCTGAAGTTAAAGCTGTGGTCAATGCGGATGAGGGAGAAAATAAACTAGGTGTGGACAATCGGGTATGCAATAGTAGTAGCGTGTAACGTACAACATGGACTCAAAGGCAGATCTTAATCCGTCTGTGAAAACTGGAGAAACTTAATTTGTATTTAATTTGACAGTTTTTTTTCCTGCGTTTTGTCAATGTTTTAGGCAGTTTAACAATGAGTTGTTTTGTACAAACTGTGAATTTCAGCGAGTTATTTGTAAATAGTTCTAAAGGATTTGGAGTGCTACTTTTTTCACAACCTGTCAATCCTCTGGTAGTGACGACTGCTGTAAGCAGCGGAAGACAAAAAAAACGAGTGCATTGTATTGTTAGTTTTACTTCACCTTATGCACGATCACTCAAAATGAGCTGAAGTTGTAAAAATTTAAGTTTTGAGAAGACTATACAGAAAGTAAAGAGTTATTAACAGTTTTGCCATTAAAGAGAAATTTAAGCAACCTGGAGTCTCTACGTGGTTTGTGATGAAGATGTTGTTCATTTCATTTTGAACCAGGAATCTTAACAATGGAACACATTTTAGGAACCTGCTCTGATATGCAAGCACAATGGCATCCAGCAAAACCTTGGACGCTACTGATGCAGAATTGGGAATTTCATCTCCAGCTATCTCCGGCTCTTCTCTCAGCTGAGAGCCAACTGGTGCTTCTTTATATAAATCAGATTCGGGCAATCACCATATTTCAGACCTTAAGCAAGGAACCTAGAACCTAGAAGAACCATACTACAAAGTTAGATCTTCCTCAAGTTTTATTTATTAGTAACAGCCCATCACAGAAGATTTGTGATCTGCAATCTTTCAGACCTAATCTTGCCTTATGTCAAGACACTGACGGTGGCACAAACCAAAATGATCTTGATGCTCAAAAGCTTTGTCTACCTTATGTTGGTTTTTGTCATTGTGCAGCAATGAATCCTTCTCATTTGGACATCTTCTTTCAGTACAAGGAATCTTTATGTGGAGATAATAGAACCACGTATGTTATATTTCTGCCAAAAAAAAAAAAAAAAAACATGTTCTAGAGCTTACAGGTCCAGTACTGGTTGCAGAGATCTTCAACTGTACTCTATAAAACAAATCATCCCAAGCTTGTGAACCAACCAGATCCAGAAGTGTCTCGTAATCTGAAACCTGACGGTTATTATTTTTGTGGAACAACTTTGAACCTGCCTTCTTGCTTTTCTTGAAACAACTTAAATTCTAATTTACCAGTGTTTGGTGATGCATATTTAATGGTGCAAATTTCAAAGGAACTTCTTCATGGACTTATATGTGCATCTGGAACATGTAGGTCAATCTATTCTGGAAGCCAGCTATAACGTTGAACAGACCCATTGCCAGCAGCCTGAAAATTTGAGGAGTTCAGACTCCAAAGTGAGAATCAACCAACAGATGATCCAGTATTAATGTCAAATCCTTCAATTCAAGATGTCAAACCTAGAGCTGTGGAGCAAACATCTTACCCTTAAATCCATGAGTGTGATCTTCAGGAAGCCTGTGAGGTGGTCACTGATGGCAATGGCAATGACTGAGCTGTTGAATCTGATATGATTCAAGCATATCAGAGGCCAGAAAGCAGAAGAGAAACCAAGTCTACCAGATCAGCCATCTGAGAAAGAGGAGTCAAAGAAAAGTTGTTCAAGTTCTCGTTCTCAGGTTGTTTTGCTTTTTAAATTTGATTTATTTATTTATTTATTTGCAGTGCAAGATTTTGTTGCTTACTCTGATTATTAATGGAGCATTGTACATGTAAAGAAAAGTGACAATACTGTAGTAATAATATCTATTAAATCACCCTACAAAGCAGGGATCACCAAACTTGTTCCTGGAGTTCCGGTGTCCTGCAGATTTTAGCTCCAACCCTAATCAAACACGCCTCAACAAGCTAATCAAGGTCATACTAGGTATACTTGAAACACCCAGGGAGGTGCGTTAAGGCAAGTTGGAGCTAAACCCTGCAGGGCACTGGACCTCCAGGAATGAGATTTGCGACCCCTGTTACAAAGCATTGATATATTGATATATTGAGTTATGCTCTTAAAATAGTTCACCCCAAAATGAAAATTCTTTGATCATTTACTCATCCTGACATTAGGGCCCAATCCCAATTCTATTTTAGATTCCTACTACTCCACGACATGAAGAGGTGGGCATGAAAACATTCCACTAAATATTCCCTGCCGCTTTTCTGTTATTTGGTATCAGATTTTAAAATTTGTAGAATATAATGCAGTAGTTATTATAACTCAGTGGAATTTAGCAATTGTTCTTAACATTACTATAAGACTATGACCGTAAAATATAAATGCCATAATGTAATAAACAGATGCTAGTTTAATTGTAAAAATCATTGCTCGCTTTGGCAGCCATGTTGGTAACAGGTGTATTTAGGGAAATTTCTCATATCCCCTTCAATTGTATTGTGGTCCTTGGAAAAATGTATTTGAAAAGCTATCTGGCATTTCTCCCTATCCATATGACTTCTACCAAAAAGGGAAATCAAGACAACCCTAAACCTTTACGTGAATGCCTGAAACAGAAGGAAAGGGCTAAGGCAGGGTTGTCCACACTCTGTCCTGGAGGGCCGGTGTCCTGTAGAGTTTAGCTCCAACCCTAATCAAACACACCTGAGCAAGCTAATCAAGCTCTTACTAGATATGCTAGAAACGTCCAGGCAGGTGTGTTGAAGCAAGTTGGAGGTAAACTCAGCAGGAGACACGCCCTCCAGGACTGAGTTTGGACACCCCTGGGCTAAGGGGTAGAAAGGGGATTGGGCCCATATGTTCCTGACTTATTGACCTTATTCGGCAATGTGGAAGTGCACTTGTTTTTGCAATTGATTTAGAACATGGGTTCTCAACCCTGTTCCTGGAGATCTAACTTCCTACAGAGTTTAGCCCCAACCCTGATCCAACACACATGAAGCAATTATTTAGGAAATGAACAGCACTTGAAAATTACAGGCAGGTGTGTTTGATATGGGGTTGCAGCTAAAATCTGCAGGAAGGTAGATCTCCAGGAACAGGGTTGAGCATCTCAGATTTAGAACGTCCGATTCAGTTGCCTTTGAGAGAAGTGACTAGGAATCATAATTGGCAAAAAAGGGCCAAACTACTTGCTCTATGAACAAGTGTGTTCATGACTACATAAAAAGTAGAATAATATCAGAAAATAGAGATTACATGAAAATATTAGATTGCAACATCAAACACAAGCTGTTTTCAACATCTAAAAATCAATGGTACTGAATAAGTATAGGTCACAAGCCAAAAAGATTCCAATTGCTGTGTCCACTCATACATGAAGAGTAAGGTCAAAAGGAGATTCTTTATTCTGTTGCGTGTTGGTAACCATACAATTGACAGAACTTTCTACTGTTTTTCCCCCTTTTACTGTGGAAGTCAGTTGTTAATATCAACTCATGAATTGCCAACTTGTTTTTTACAACAGAAGGAAAAAACTCTGAGGTTAATGAATAAATCTTCATTTTTTGGTTGACTATTGGTTTGAAATCAGGATTCATTTCTAAATTGTTGTTGCTCCTGTGTGTCAACAGGGTCCTCAATACCAAACCACTTCCACTGATGACAACGCCACGTTGTTCAAGATAAACCACTGCTTCTACTGCAAGCAACCACATTATAATATGATGGCTCATCTTCAGTCCGTTCATCCGAACGAGCCAAAGGTGGCCGAAGCTCTCATCTTTGACAAGAACTCGCAGCAAAGAGACGATCTGCTCAAGCATCTTCAAATTAGGGGAAATGCCTTGCACAACACAAATTTGGTTGAACGCAATGTAAATCAATTACAGCCATATGGGTTGTTTGCATCAGACTGCCCAGTTGATGATAGTGTTTATTGCATATACTGTTTAGGGTTATTTAACAAGAAGAGTTTTGCTACGCATTTAGAGAAGTGCAAGGGCAAATCTGTTGACAGTTCAGAGGATAATATATTACAATTCAAAGATTCTACTGTAAACGAAGATTGCTTTGAAATTAAGGAAAATTCTCAAAAACCAAGCACTGGACCAGAATTAACAGACTGGAATCGTGAAGAATTAAGTTACTCAGAGTGCGACAAACAAAGTTCGAAGGCTTCAACGTGGGATACCAGCTTTTTCAGAGTTCACCCAGAAAACGATGCTTTCAAAAATATATGTGAGGAGTTCAGTCCACCGCACAGTGACCAATCTCTGAATAATGACACAAGCAAGAGTAGTCCAAAAGCCCGAACATTTGGAACGAGGAGGAAGAGGAGGAAAAATCAGGTAAAAACTGTTAAATGAACGTGTTGTAAAAGAATCTGCTAAATTCTTCACATCAATCAATCCGTTTAATCTTTGGCTGCATCCTAAAGCTTTAAAATGCTGCATTTCAAGGCAGGAAGGCATCAAGGCATGTCTACTTTACTTCCTGGCTTGGGAATTTTGAAGGCAGCATAGATCTGTTGATATCTCACAATCCTATGTATTCCATTTCTGGAAGTTGAGCTTAAAATAAACATGGCATCACAAAGTGAGTTGAAATAAAAAGTATTAGCCCTCCATTTAAATTAATTATTTAAAAAAATATTTTATATTTTTAATGACTAATTTCTAATAACGAATTGCTACTATTCAGCTTAAAGCCTGGTTTATACTTCTGTGTTGAGTGATCTGCATGACCCATGGCATGTGGCACTCAGCCCTGCCCCTATTCGTCAGCACTACCAAGTCGACCAATCACAGAGCTTGCGCTACGCTTTGTTGCCATGTGTGGTTGCATTTTTTGAGAGATGCGCCACGGCAAGGGCTATGCGACCACACGAAGGCTGCGCCAGAGCATATGTGTGTGCTTGATGCAGAAGTATAAATCAGCCTTAAGGGTGTACTCACACTAGGCACGGTTGCTTTGAATCATGCCCGGGCATGCTTGTCCTCCCTCCCCTCTCCCCCCATTTTGCTTCGACTCACACTGTAGTTTTAGTTTCAGAGCCCGAGCACGCTTGTCATCGATGATGTGACTGTTCAGTGAGGAAGTGAATTGCTCACTACAATGTAGATTGCTTTAGTTATATTGCTTTGTATTAAGTCATCTGAGGTGTGATGACGGTCAAATATATTGCTTCTTTAAAAAAACGAACTTTGCATCAAAGTTCCCCTTATTCAAACTATGAGTGACTCGCAGTGGCAAATCGACAAGAGACCATTCATTTCAATGAAGAGTGAGCAACTTCACGTGACCTCCGTCAAGGGTAGCGATATCGATCGGTGACGACTAGGTGGGCATGTCGAGCGACACGACAAAGATTTGAATCCTTCAACTCTATGCAAAGGACACTTTTCACAAGCCTGTTGTGATGCATCTAATCACAATGCGTCACAATAACATTTAGTGATCATAATTTTAAATCCTTGAAAATTTATTATATTTAGATAAAAAACATTATGAACATTTATATATTTTTATGTATGTATTGTCATCTTTGCATCAAATTACAAAAAATGAATTACCGATTGTGTGAGGCGTTTCTAATGCAGCCTCTATGGGCTGGATGGTAAATTTTATGTTATATTATTATTATTATTATTATTATTATTATTATGTTATTTAGTCTTGCTGCCGTTATCAGCCTCACACAATTTTTTTCTTTTACTGAATGTCTTGATAACTCCATCATGGAGTTTTTCTTTAACTATTACAGCAAATTTAATTGTAAAATAAATTATTTGTTGTACTCTCACATTAACTGTGCTTTAAGTTTACCCAACTATGATGACTATGATATTGGGAAACACGGACATGTGAAAAGTTGTCATAAAGAGTGACTTTCATGAGCGACAGCCAATAGGAGCACCAGTAGAGCTCACATGATCCTCTCTCAGCTTGCTCAGAGGCCGGTTGTATTCTCCGTGCTGCAGGTTGCCACCCACAGTGTCAGGCAGCTACAACTTTGCTGTAAGTGAGAATGTGGCATTAGGTAAGTCACAATCTTTAAAACGCCTCTCGGGCAGTATGCTCGGGCATTTTGGTGCAATGGGGAAGCATCACATTCTCCAAGATTTGCTTGTTAAGCTTGCGATTCAATTTCATATTAGGAATCCCAGGTAAGATTAAATAACAACTGTTTTTAGTTTAATTTTTAAACATTCAAATGACACAAAATCTGCAGAAACTTACATCTGGACCAAGCTCCTCCCCTGGAGAATCCTCAGTCTATAGCAATCAATGATTGGCTCTTGTAATAGAAGGCGGAGCTTCATTTTCCATATAGACTGTTAAACTTTTACCCATTCAAACTATACTAGTGTCATGTCTTGTGTATTCTATAGTCTTTGGTTTGCATTCATAGAAAAGTAAGAATGATTAATAAATCCATATGTAACTGTTATGGGTCCCGGCCGCGGAACTCGTAGGCAGATTAAAGTGCCTGTATTATCAGGAGAAACAAAATCACAAGAAAACTTCAGTGTCTTTCCTCAGGAGCAGCTTAGTAGCATCTGTTTATTAACAGTCATAGTATAGCAAACCTATCCTCACAAATCATGTTTCATCTTATCAAACATACAGTTTTGTTCTCTTTTTTTTAACAACAATGAAGTCTTCAAATACTTATACACTCTGTACTCTCATTAACACATATAAATATTATACCTTCTGTATATTTATCAGTAGCACACAGATTACACTTTAAATCCTGTCAATCATCTATTTCATTTTTCTTTCTTTGTAAATACCTCTGTATATAACCATTTACCATAAGACTTCTAAACTCACTGAACATTCATGCGTCTGTTATTTGTATCATTTAAATTGTAACAGTTACACTTGACACCAATTACCAATGTTACTCTCTACTCTCATAAACTTTATACATTAACAAATATACAACTAATATATACAAATAATAAGTCACTTTCTGTTTAATTATCACATACTGAGTATAATACATATCATTTACTGGGAAGTCAGTTATAAACTCAGCCCAACTGTCATTTTACTGGTACTTTCATCTGAATCACTCCTCTCAATTAACAACTGTAAATAAGCTATTCACTTTAAAAAAAAACACATAGGAAATGTGTACTCACATGTTTTTACATGAATTATAATAAACATATTGACTTTTTTTATGAAACATACTTGAATTATCAGGAGAAACAAAATCACAAGAAAACTTCAGTGTCTTTCCTCAGGAGCAGCTTTTAGTAGCATCTGAAGTAAACACAAGTATCGCCATGGTAACCCACAGCGCATGCTTTCTCAACTGTTGATGTTATTTCTTTTCAAACCCAGTCATTAGTAGTGATAATATATATATTATATATATACATAAATAAATAGATACATTAATGACAAAACACAAATTGGTGTATCACACAACAGTCCCTTAAAGGTGACAGTGTGTCTTCAGTTTCACACTCAGGCACGCTTTGCACTCACATTAGAAGTGAACCATGCAAAAGCCTAACCGAACTGCGCTTCAGACCACCTTTTCCCACCGGGCCAGGGCCAGCCATCTGAACCGCGCCTGGACACCTCAAACGAATTGGGAAATGGGGGTCCAACGTGCCCTGGCACGGCTCGGATAGCTTAGTGTGAGTACACCCTAAAATACAATTTAAAGGCTTAACTAGGTTAATTAATTTAACTAGCAAGTTATTGGATAACCAGTGGTTTGTTCTGGAGCCAATTGGGGAAAGAAAATTATAAGTAGGGTAATAATATTCATCTTTAAAATGTAAAAACTGCTTTTATTCCAGCCTAACTAATATAAGAGTTTCTTTAACAAAAAAGGAAATACTGTGCAAATAAATACCTGTGAAATACCTTGCTTTGGTAAACATCACTTGGGAAATATTTAAAGAGAAAACAAATTTCACAGGAGGGCTAATAATTTAGACCTCAACTGTATGATTTTAATCAACGTTTTCCACTTTTGATGGCAGTTCTAGTTAGTAGGTTAGTATAGTTGTAAGCAAATATTGCTTTAGTTATCACCAAAACTCTCTCTCTATTTAGTTGTACATGATTAAATTATGCTGTCTCAGAAATCAGTTTTATAGGTCCTCTTAGCACAAATGCTGCCTCTAAAATCACCACCTGATAAGTCAGCTGCCTAAGCTTTTGAATGCAGCCTTTATTTATTTTTTTTCAAGTTTACCTCTAGGGGTTTAATAGTATCTCAGCCTGCAAAATGTTATGATTGAAAAAATAATTAACAAAGATCAGCAATAATTTTATTTTTAAAAATTAATAATATTTTTTTTTTTTCTCTTTTGTATAGTCACAAATCCCGAATGATGGCTTGCTGGGTGAAGGAGAGATGGCCAACTCAAAAGTACATGTCTGCCAGCACTGTAAGGCAGCTTTCAGCAGTCCGTACACGCTGCGCAGACATGAATACACCCATACAGGTCAGTGGAAAATGAAGAAAACTAAAGCAAGCTATCCACAGGATAAGAGGCAGGATCATTATTTATGCTCATTCTCATACGAGCCCCCTTTTTTTTGGGATTTCCACTCAGGTGAGAGGCCATTCTGGTGCCATCACTGTAATGTGGGCTTTATCCAGAAGTATCGTCTTTTAAAGCACATATTTGCATACCATGGTGAATTTATTCAACAAATACTTTGGCTGGCTAGTCTATTTGTATTTTACATTTTGATCCATTAAAGTTGGTGTGAACTGCGCTTATTTTTGTTGTCAAAGGGGACGTACCATCTAGCTCAGACCAAGAAAAACTGAAAAGGGCAAAGAGAAGAATTCCTGGTGGAGAGACATCAGTGGAGGAGGAAATGAACCTGGAGGTAGAGATTTTAACAAAGGAGCTTAATTTGGATAAGAGAATTGCAATTAACTTTTATTTATCGACAGCCTACAGCAATAATTCCTGAGAGGTTAGCAGATGCTGTTAATGATGACACTGGGGAAAACATTCAGACACTACAGACTACAGAGCAAGGTAAAGCCATGGAAGTCCGTTTCTGCCATTAAGTAAAAATATAGATATTTTTTGCAAGTGATAATGACTTACATTGTCAAAGTATCTCATAATAATGAAAACTTCTCATAATGACTTCCTTTAAATAAGAATTATGAGAAAATATCTCATTATTATAAGCCAGTTGATGTTACGAGAAAATTTCTCATTATTACGAGAAAATATTTCATTATTATGAGAAAGCAAGTCATCGTTATGGGAAAGTTTCTCCTTATAAGAAAATATTTATGTGAACGCATGTTAATGCTATGAGAAAGTGATTATCGCTGCATGGGGCACCTCAGATTATTTTTGAAGGGCACTTTCTATCCAAGACTAAAAAGGGCATGTGCACTGCACAGGTTGAGCCCTATGTGTGCACATGCCTGATTTGCATCTCTTCATTGACTTAACATGTAAAGCACTCATGCTTGACGCTTCTTCCGCGTCTGGGATGAACACAGCGCTAGGAGAAAGTTTCTGATTATGAGAAAATATCTCATGAGAAAGTCAATGTTATGAGAGAGTTTCTGATTATTGTGAGAAAATATCTCATTATGAGAAAGTAAGTCAATGTTATGAGAGGTTCTGATGAGAAAATCTCATTTTGAGAAAGCAAGTCAATGTTACGCGAAAGTTTCTGATTATTATGATAAAGTTTCTCATTGTTTTGAGAAAGCAAGTCAATGTTATGAGAAGCTCTCAATGAGATATTCTCTCAAAATCGTAAGTCAATGATATGAGAAAGTTTGTCATTAATATGAGAAAATAGTTCATTATTATGACAAAGCAAGTCAATGTTATGAGAAAATATCTTATTATAAGAAAGTCGATGTTATGAGAGTTTCTGATTATGAGAAAATATCTTATTATGAGAAGGCAGGTCAATGTTATGTGAGTTTTTTTAGTTATTATGATAATTTCTAATAATGAGAAAGCAGGTAAATGTTAGGAGAAAGTTTGATTATGTGAAAATATCTCATGAGAAAGCAAGTCATTGTTATAAGAGTTTCTGATTATTATGGGAAAGTATCTCATGAGAAAGCAAGTCTTTGTTATGAGAGTCTTTATTATGAGAAAGCAAATCTTTGAGAGAATATTTCATTATGAGAAAGCAAATTGCTACAAGAAAGTTCCTCATTCTCATTATGAGAAAGCAAGTCATTGTTATGAGAGTTTTTATTATTAATTTGAGATAATATATCATTATGATAAAATATTTCATTATTATGAGGAAGCAAGTCATTGCTACAAGAAAGTTCCTCATTTTCATTACGAGAAAATATCTCTATGTGAAAGTAAGCTAATGTTATAAGAAAGTTTGTCATTAATATGAGAAAATAGTTAATCATTATGAGAAACTTTCTTTAGATTTTTTTTTTTTTTTTACTAAATGGGGAAACAGGCTTTCCTAAACTTGCTGTCATGCAAAATAAAAAAAATATATTATCTTCCCTTTTTTGTTTTTCCTAACTGAAGATGCTTTTGTTTCAGACACAGAGGCAGTAGAGTTTCACTGGGAAGCGGACGCAGGACATGGCAAAATCAATGACTCTGACACAGACTGTTGGAAATTCTTGTTTACATCTTAGTGTTGTTTTAAAGGTTACCACATAATTGTTTTATTTGATTTGTAAATGTAATTTAACCAAGTTGATAATTTTGTCTATAGTTCAGATCATATTCTGTTTAACAACTGAGGATGACACTAGGTTTGAATTAAACACAAAACTTTAAGTCTGTTGGTCTTCATTTGTCTTTTTGTGTGTGCATGATACTCAGCATAAAGGTAAGAGGTCTAGCATAGAGGTCTGTTTCAATCCAGAGTCCCTGGTGTTTATAATTACACAATCTGGCATTTAGTCTTTTATGCATTTAATGGATCAAAATACAGTAAAACAGTAATGTTAAATAATTGAAAATATTACTCGTTTATTCATTTTAAAATTCATATAAAATTTTTAAAATGTGATTTATTCCTGTAATGGTAAAGCTGAAATTTCAGCAAGTTTTGTCACAATAATTCTAATAAGATATGATCTCATACAAAAACATGCAATTAGCGTGGAATTTGACTATGAAGAATGACGAAGATCCTGTTGTTGCTTTACTGCTCCTTTCCACGAGTTATTTACAATTACTTTAAAAAGCACACTAGGCGATAAGAAGCTACTGTATGCGTGTCTAGGACATCCTCTAGGGAAAAGCAGAAAGAATAGGTTGTAAACTCGAGAAACTATTGCACAGCACGGTCTCCTCCTGTCCTGCGAGCGGCGCTAGAGATGCTCCATTGAGTAAATGAGCCTGATGTGTTGTGTTGTTGTTGGTGGTTTGATTTTAAAGGGGGAACTACACGAGCTCGCCTCTTGTGTTGATTTCGCTACTCGCCTTGTCTATTTGTCGTCTGGCTGGAACGAGTTAAATAAGGCATTAGAATGACTAAATTGGACCGCCTGAACTCCTTCATGACCGAGCGATTGATGGCGGCTGTAAAGGAGATCATCTTCACTGTGGGCAAAACGGTCCGCGAGTTCGAGGAGGAAACGGAGCGCGTCAAGAGCGAGAACGAGCGGCTGAAGAAAATGCTTCGAGATTCCGGGCGCGTCGCCGCCGAACACGCGAGTATAGCTGGTGTGATGATCATTAAATAATACATACACAATATCATGATGGGTGGATGTTGTTAAATTGTGTTTAAAACTGGTGTGTGTGTGTGGACATGTTTTGGTCTCATTATTATTTGTGTATAAACATTAACGTTACTCTTAAAATAGCGCTAACTTAAGTTAAAGTATCCAATTAAAAAAATAATCTAGTTGAGCATTTTGGTCTTTTGTATGCTAGTTGAGGCTTAAATTGTGACTACTTGTCTCTTACTAAATATATACTTTCACTTTATATAAGTGTGCTTGTGTGTGTGCCCGTGCAACTGAACAGAACATTATGTGCTAAACATTTAAAAACAGATTTCTAATCCAGAGCTCTGAGGTTGTTAATTGTTTATACGTGCTTTTCTTGAACTATGGAGGGCCTTTTCCACTATAAAATAAAATTTGGAAGTTATAATAATGAGAAACTTTTTTTCTTTACTGTTATAAGTTATCCTAGAAACTTTCTTATAATTATGATTTTCTCATATTAACGAGATTTCTTGTTATAATTAGAATTTTTTTCTCTTAATGATTTTCTAATAACAATGAGATATTTTCTCCTTATAATAAGGAACTTTTTTAAAATAACGAGCATCTCTTGTTACTTATTTCAACTTAATATTGAGAAAAGTTTGCATAATAATGACTTATTTTTAAAAAACATTTTCATTATTATGAGAAACCTTCTCATAATATGAGATAACATGAGATTTTCTCGCCTTATGACTAGGGCCAGACGGAATCTGCGGTCATTTGTTTGCTATTTCTGCACAGAATTTTGTTAAAAATCTTCAGATTTATGTGGAATGAATTTGGGAGTATCATAGCTAAAACCTTAATATAAGAACTAAAAAGTAATACCTTTTTAACTCGTATTTAATGTTTACAATGCAAATCCAATTAGATCCACTTTATTTGGTAAACAAAGCAAGTCTTCTATATATTAAAAATATTACTTTACAAACTGTATTGTAAATAAATTATATGAATATTTTCATATTAGTCAATAATATTACTGAAATTAACTTTAAAACTGAATAAATTTAAATTTGCAAATAAACAATAAACAATATTGTTTATAAACAATAATTTATTTAGTAAATAAACAATAAATTATGGGCTAAAAATCTGCAGATATCTGCGTGCGCAGCTTCTGTGTGGGCCTAATAAGGACTTATTTTCTTATAAAAAATGGCTTATATTCTCATAATACATGACTTCATGTAATAATGAGAAACGTTTCTTGTAATAATTACTAATAATGAGAAAGTGTCTTGAAATAGAGAGAACCTTACCTTCTCATAATAAATGACTTATTTTCTTGCAATAATGAGAATTGTTTGTGATAATAATGGCTTGCTTGTAATAATATTGAGTGTCTTAAAATAACAAGCTTTTGTCATTATTTTCAGCTTATCATAAAAATGAGAAACTCGCAATAATGACTATGTTAATGAGATTTCTTGTTATAATTACAATGTTTTTCATAATAATGACTTTTTCGTCATAACGAGAAGCAGACTTTCTTTAAATAACAAGCTTCTCTTGTTATTTATTTTAATTTATTGAGAAGTTCTCATTACAATGACTTATTTTTTAACATTTTTAATATAATGAGAAACCTCATAATAATGAGATTTTCTTGTATAATGACTTATTTTCTCATGATAAACTTATTTTTGTAATAATTAGAAATAACTAGGTTTACTTTCTCATAATAAATGACTTATATTATCATAATACATGACTTCATGTAGTAATGAGAAACGTTTCTCGTTAAAATTACTAATGATACTAATAATAATAATAATGAGAAAGTGTCTTGAAATAATGAGAAGCTTACCTTCTCATAATAAATGACTATTTTTCTTGTAATAATGAAAATCTTTTCTCATAATAATGAGTTTCTCATAATAATAACGAGACAGTGTCTTGAAATAAGGAGAAGCTTTCTCATTATTTTCAGCTTCTCAAAATAATGAGAGATTTTCTGGTAATTATGACATGATGAGGTTATTTATACAAGATGTCATGTCAGAATTGACTCACTCATGGGTTTAGAAGCTGCTCTAAAAATGTCAGTAATAAAAGCAAATGTAAAACGCTTGCTTTTACAATTTCCTATTTTAAATTAGGGCTGTGAATTGGCAAGGGCCTCACGATATGATACATATCCAAATACATGGGTCACGATACAATATATTAAGATATTTTGCGATGCAATAGTTTTATTAGTATGTGTGTCGTATTATATTGACAACTTAATACAGTCAGCAGACGAATTAAAATTCCAATTTTTGAGATTTGCAAAGCTTGCAATTGGCATTTTTTGTGTGTATTTCCATATATCCTGGTATAGTGTTATATACAGCCACACGTCAGCCCTAAAAGCTGGAGGCGCCTTTATATTTTCCACCACGCTCACTCTTGCTTACTTTTGATACTGTACTGCTTAGCATTTTGTTGATAGTTAGCGGCATCTACTGGAGCAGAGGAGGAGGTTGTTTGGTTGTTTATCGATACTTCAGGTTGGGCTATCGATACACTATCGCGAAAGGAATTATCGCGATAGTTAGATATATCAATATTTTTGCACAGCCCTATTTTAAATGTAACGAGACAAGTGTTTTTATCTGGAGACCTTTTCATTTTGACTTCTCACATGCGCGTTGTGTATAAGCACCTTGTATTACTCTCCATTATTACTATGATCGTTGTAGTTTCAGAAATGAGAGCGGTAAAGAGACAGCGAGCTATACGTATATATTCACTTAATCATACTATGATTGCCGTAGTTTCAGAATTGAGAGTGGGAAAAAGACAGCGAGTGAGTGACTGTGCTTATTTGCCGTTATAGTCCATATATGTTTACATGATCATTATTTACTGTCTTTGACAGTTGTCTTTCTCCGAATGTCTTTCTGTGTTATCAAAAATAGATAAGTGTTTCCACATAACTCAGTTTTGTGTTCATTTGTCACATTTTTTGAACATTCTGAGGTTGAACAGCTACACTGAAACTGAACTCAAATAGCCAAATGAGTTTACAATATGTTGATATAAACTTCATATGTTCATAGTAAATATATTGACATTATTCCGTAATTCTGCACCATATACAATATGCCCTATAGGAGACGGCCATAATGCTTTCTACATATTACAAATAATCATAGTAATATGGGTGAATAATATAAGATGCATATGCACATTAAGTTATCATTATGAGAAAATATCTCATTACAATGAAAAAGTACTGTTTTTATCATGAGAGTTTTTCTAATTTATATGACTCTCAAAATATATTTTTAACTGCAGTAACAGGCTTCCAAAAAAGACTTTTTTGTCTATATTTTACATATATTTTGTATATTTTGTTCCTGTATGTTTATATTTGTATATACTGTTCCAAAATTTGAAGTTATTGCAATACTGACATTTTTAGAGCAGCTTCTCCTTTAAATAAATGTCCATGATTGAGTCAGTTTTGTCTGATATGACATCTTGTATAAATAACCTTGTCATATTACGAGAAAATTTTTCATTAAGCTGAAAATAATAAGTCTTCTCGATTTTTCAAGACACTTTCTCATTATTATAAATATTACAAATCATTTATTATGAGAAGGTAAGCTATACATTATTTCAAGACACTTTCTCTTTATTTCTCATTATTACAAGAAAATAAGTCATTTATAATGAGAAAATAAGTCATTATACATGAAAATGTCATTATAAGAAAGTTCATAATAGACATTTTAAAAATAAGCCATTATTATTAGTCATTATTATGAGAAAATATCCCATTATTACAAGTCATTATTATGAGAACTTTTCTCAATATTATTAAGTTGAAATAACAAGAGTTGCTCGTTATTTAAAGTGTCTGTTTCCCGTTATGACAAAGCCATTTAAAAAAAGATCCTCATAACGAGAAAATATCTCATTATTATTATTATTATTATTATAATGAAAAAATAAAATCTAATTTTAACAAGACAACACATTAATATGAGAATCATTATTACGAGAATGTTTCGAGTACACCGGCTCTTCATCAAACTTTTTAATTTAATAAATTGCTAATTT